TATATATATGTAATATACGTATGTATATGCCTGTATGTATGAATATATATATAAATGCGTGTGTGTATATATTTTTTTGTTTGTGAATAGATATCAACTAGTTTAAAATTTAAAGTATTCTTTGTTTCATAATACGCACAAACACACACAGATAGTAACAAACACTCACACACACGGACACAGCAACACACACGGACACAGAGACACGCACAGATATAAGTGTATATGGTAATATCATCTATATGTATACACATTGTATATACTTATCCCGATCATCACAAAAGAATTCCTATGCATGATGGTATACACACGTACATGCATACATACACACACATATATATATATACACACATGTACGCATACATTCACTCACACATAGACAAACGCGTGTCACACACAGACACACACACACACACACACACATATATATATATATATATATATATATATATATATATATATATAATTTCACCCCTATATATTTAGATTAAAAATTAAATTGTTAGAAATGTCTGTACAAAAACTTGCTGTATAGAGAAAATTATATGATTTGTGAAAACATCTAAGGTTTTTACATATTTTAAGTAATATTTATAAAACAGCTAAGTTTACAGATAATTATTAAAATTAAAATTATTTTACTCACTTGCGGGTTTTCAGAATATATATATATATATATATATATATATATATATATATATATATATATATGTGTGTGTGTGTGTGTGTGTGTGTGTGTGTGTGTTTTGCCAGTGTAGCTCTTCCTTCATTGCACGCGTTTTATGTCATAAATCTCGGCATCTAATGCGATGTTTGAATAAATATAGATCCAACGCCACATCAGATATCAGGATATATGACATATATATATATATATATATATATATATATATATATATATATATATATATATATATATATATGAAGAAATATAATCTTAAGATATGCTATATTTATGGGATAAAGTGCTCAATATCAGAGATAGAGCGTGTGTAAATATAAAAGTGAACATAGAAGTCAACACTTATTGGCGACAGTCTGTTTCATGCTATATGCAATCATATATATATATATATATATATATATATATATATATATGAACCAAAAGAGACAGGCAAACGTACCTATATATTGAGACTGTCCAGCCTTTACTGCCATAAAGGAAGAGTGATATTACATAACAGTTCAATACCCTTTTGTCCTCAGTTAAAATACTTAACCAGATATTTAAATTGTTTTACTTGTTTGCATTTGACAATCCGAGTATGTGAAACCTAGGTAAGTTTGCCTGGCTCTTTAAGTTCATATTTAGGTTTGCTCTACTTAGCGTATTGAGCACTTAACGTAGTTAATTTTTCTTTACTCGTTTTGGAGGGGTTTTTTTCTTTGGAATCTGAGCTTAAATTCTGGACGATTATTTTCGCCTCAATTTCATGGTCTTAGTTCTTTCTTTTTTATCCCTTATTTTCCCTTGGGCATTGTTTTTTTTTTCAATTATAAGTCAAAATACCTAAGGTTTTTCCAAACGTGTATAACTATATATATATATATATATATATATATATATATATATATATATATATATATAGGGTGCGATGTGTAAATTGTCGCCATGTTATATTTTTAATTTAGCGCATGAGCCTTGTTTGTTATGGATTTTGTCGACTGAACAATATAATAGGAACAGTTGAGCATCGTAAGCTCTAATACGAATGAATTTTTGGTTGAGGCTAGTGCAGACAATTTGGAAAGAATTGAATGAGTCTAATGGTGATTACGGCGGTACGGCAGCTCGGAAACCTCTCTCCCATCGTTGTGTTAAGAAAAGAACTCCCGAATTTGTTGGTGAGTGCCCCAGAGACAACACGGACGCCTACATCAAGTGTTTTGAGGATGTAATGCTACCCTGGGTCAAAAGGAGGAGCTGCTGGACTCTGCACCCTGCCACACACGCAGTAGAACAGTCATTGCTGCAACCACACCACTCCTTACATCTCGCTACCTAACTCCCCAGACAGCAAACCCCTTGATTATTACGTGTAGGAAGCAGTTGAGGGAGAGACAAGGAAAAAAAAACCTCCTTGTAGCACCAAAGACGAACTGAAAGCAAGAATTATGACAGCATTTACTGTGGCAGTTTTTTTGTGTATATATACGTACTAGTCAGTTAGGCCAATTGCCTTGACTCACTTTATAGTCTACCAATAGAAGTTTAACCAATCAGAAGACGTAGAATATTCAATCCGTCGTGTATAAAGGGGGCCATTTTTGTTCACTCTACCCGAATGTCCAGTCCAGCTTGTCAGGCGAAGAGAACCAGAAGGACGAACTATGCTCTGCTATTTTTATCGAAATATCCACTGCTAACCTGAACAACGCTTTCCTACTGTCTTCGAAATATTCACTGCTAACCTCTGGATTCTATACTCGAAGACGACCGTCATGATGATTAACAGTTACTAACAAGGAAACCGTCTAAAAGAGATGCAGTAGATTCCAAAGTCGTCTGGAGGCCATTGTTGAATCCAATGGCGATTTTATTGAATTAATTTATTCTTTAGTATTTGAAGATATCTTTGTTTAATTTTTTTATTTTTATTTTTGCGTAATTTAGATGACGAACCCTGTATATGTGTACGGGTTGCGGAAACGCGCTTGCGTGTGCATGTGTATGGATGGATGTCGAAGAGTATCAGATTTAACGTATTCTTTGCTTGATAGATACGTACATACACGGGCACAAACACACACACACACACACACATATGTATGTTCGTGTGTGTAAGAATGGGTTAATGTGCTCAATATCAAGGATAGAGCGTATGTATATATAAAAGTGGACATCGAAGTCAACACCCAGCGGCGACACTCTGTTTAATGCAGATATACAAAAGTCAGACCTGGCGTATAAGCATAAAACAGACTTTCGCTGTTGATCTCGTTGTCTACTTTTATGCATACACAGACACAGACACACGCATGCGCACTCTCTCTCTCTCTCTCTCTCTCTCACACACACACACACACACACACACACACACATATATATATATATATATATATATATATATATATATATATATATATATATATATGAATTAGGATCAAAATATATTAGGATCCGAAAGAATGATAGGATAAGGAACAAATAGGAAACGTTTACTAATTTAACGTGTTTCGATTTTATTTAAACTTCATCAGAAAATAATATATGGATGAGAAAAAAGAATTCTGCCGATTTTCTATTTGTGTTGTTTGCCTTTTGTTGATGAAGAAGACCTAACGTGTATCACACAGCGTTCGTTTGTATCATTCATCTGTGTATGAGAATAACAATTCTAGTTGGTCCATGTGGGATTCGATCGAAAATGTATATGCATATGTATTCGTTTGAGCGTCTAGTGTAAATCTAAAATCCTGCATCTACGAACATAAGAGCGACTTACGTTCGGATAACCAATTAAACTACATTTACCACGCAGATACAAAACAGGACAGAGCTTCGATTTTATAAATGCCACACTTATTAGAAAAGAACATAATTATTACGTAGGAAATACTAAGAGGGAGTCCTGTTAAATATCTTGCCATCTATAAACACACGTCAAACACACTTTATTATATCATCCAACTTTTATAAAATCCATACTTAAAGAATCTAAGATCTGTTTACCTGCAACTACAACCTGTCTTACTTAAATTCTTTCAGTCTTACACAAAACATCTTTAATTGACATACCGAAAACTACCAGACAGAGATAAAAATGCTTACATTTAAGTATTTAAAATTTTAAAGCATTCTTAATCAAAAAAGAAAACTTTGCTGTTTAATCCTTTCCACTACAAGTGTGAGCTGGTCATTTCTGGGAGGAGGCAAGGGTCTTGTGATCCCCAAACCTGATTTTATGACACAGGTCACATCTCTACCACATCTCATTTTTCATAAGGTAGCATTCATATAGAAAAATAAAATGAAAAATTTATTGTAAGCTAATTATGTACAATAATGGATTTTATGAAATACAGGTGAAAAATTCAACTAGAAAAATTGAAAATAAATACAATGTATCTAAAAAATTAGGGTCATGTCATAATAGATTATTCCATCTTAAATACATCAACAATGTTTTGCAGCAAATTTTAACGTCATCTTGATATTTTTTGTTAGATAGTTACACACTTTTAAAATATTCAACATCATACTTATTATAAAACCCAGGTTGTGTGTGTCTGTACGTTTATATATAGGATCGGATTTCCTACATTTTTCAACCGATTTCAACAAAACTTCACAGAACTACGTAAAACTGCCTTTCGGTGGTTCTGGCAGCGCCAAAAATTGGAAAAACACAATTGTTTTTGCACGAAATCAATTTGAAAACACGATTAAGGATCATCGCGAGAATGAAAGGGGGACAACTCATATTGAGTTATACTTAAAACCCAGGTTGTGTGTGTGTGTGTGTGTGTTCGTTTATATATGGGATCGGATTTCCTACATTTTTCAACCGATTTCAACAAAACTTCACTTTTTTTTTTGGCAGGTAGTGTTTCTTATTGTCTTGCACACTTTTTCTTTATTTTACATTCAGAATGCTTTAAAATTCCATTTACAAGACAATTGTTTATAATAAAATTCTATTCAATCGGTAGACTCATAACGATTGAAAACAATATTTTTGTTTGAGTTTGGGTTTGACCAATTCGTAAAAAAACAAACAAACAAAAAAAAACTAATTAAGACATATGTGTCCGTCAACCTTAAACAATAATCTTTGTCAATTTTATTTTTCAGTCTTTATGATGGTCGATACTTGATCTATCTCTTACTGTTACATCTCCGGGCAACGCCGGGCTCTACTGCTAGTTATTAATAAAAAATAGTAACTGTTATATAATGGTTTTTGTGACATATTCACGGATTGGGAGGAAAAAAAACTAGAATGACTTCAAAATACGCGAAAACTTTTCATCCTTTAATAATAGTCAGTAGTGCTTTGTTTAATTTGTAAAGTATAAAAATGTAAGTAGAAAAAAAAAAAGAAATGTTGCTAGGATAGCGGGGGACACAAAGCACTGCCTGGGGCCCCCAATCAATCTTGAAGTTGAGGTTTTCGTGGGTAGTACACACCTCCGTGTGTATGATCACATGACTATGAGGAAAGTTTTAAGACCTTTGATTAGACAAGTCGTTAATCTTAGTCGCCGGGTCAATAAAATCTTTAGCGCTTCAGGAGAAAATATGTTGAGAGCACAAGACGGCTTAATACAGCTGGAAGGCATGCAACAAAAATTCTGCTTTTCTCTGCGTATCATTCTTTGACCGCCCACACTTTTGTCTTTTCTTTCATGCTGTCTACTCAAAAAAGGAATAAAACAGGAAAGCAATTAATTGACTGCTTTTTCTTCTTTTCTCGCTAAGCAAACGCTATCTATCTATCTATCTATCTATCTATCTATCTATATATATATATATATAAAACTCTCTCTATCTATCTATCTATCTATCTATCTATCTATCTATCTATCTATCTATCTATCTATATATATATATATATATATATATATATCGCTCTCTCTCTGTCTGTCTCTCTCTCTCTCTATATATATATATATATATAAAACTCTATCTATATATATAAATATAAAACTATATATATTTTATATATCTCTCTCTCTCTCTCTCTCTCTCTATATATATATATATATATATATATATATACAGAGTGAGATAGATATATAGATATATAGATAGATAGATAGACAGAGATCAATATATAAGAAATGCATGAGATAGATATGAAAAGGTGGCGATAGACAGACAGACAGAGGGATAGATAGATAGATACCGGCTTTATAGATAGATAGATAGATAGATAGATAGATAGATAGATAGATATGAAAAAATATATGACACATATATGAAATGAATGAGTAGGCTGCGATAGATAGATAGATAGATAGATAGATAGATAGATAGATAGATATCAAATTGGAATATATATATATATATATATATATATATATAGAGAGAGAGAGAGAGATAGAGAGAGAGAGAGAGAGAGAAAGAGAGAGTGAGAGAGGAGGAAATAGATCTGAAAAGACATATCAATATATAAAAAATTCATGAGAGATGTGAACAAGCTGAGAAAGACATTAGCAAAATGCCATAGATAGATATATAGATAGATATGAACAGATTTAAATAGATAATTTTCAGATATAAATATCTCTCTACTTAACTAGTCAGCTATTGCCATTTATATATTTAGATTAAGTGTCGCATTTGACTTCAAGAGGAGATGAGCACGGCCAAATAATATCGTTTGTCTAGAGAAATTCAGCCAAGGAAGCAACTCTGTAACCCGACGTTCTACAATACCATACGATAATTTGAGTTGATTGATTTTTCTATGATGGACTAGTCGTGTCCAGTGTTCAAGGACTGTTGCGTACGTGTAAGAGTAACCCGAACAAATTTATTATAACGGTCGAGATCAAATCCGAAACGGACAAGACACGTATACGACATGTGCAATCATGGTAAAGATGAAGAAATGTTTCACTGGGCTCCGACACAAGCGCGCAATAAAATTGCAAGACTAGACTAGTGCGGTGATCAAATTACGCTAGACTAAAGCACACGATAAATTACTTGATAGACTCGGTGACTGCAGAAATAATATATAACCAGCTACTTGGAACTTGAAATCAACTTCGCACACACACACACACACACACACACACACACACACACACACATACATATATATATATATATCTATAATTCTCAAAATGTATCTGTGTATGTAGGTGTGTGATCGGATGTTGTTTATGCGTTTCCACAGTTTTGATCTGATTTCGATTAAATTTTTTTGTTTGATAGATAATCCATCAGTGCCAGTTTTGAGCTCAAAATGTTGGCGACAATGGCTCTCCACTACTTCCTGTCCATTATAACTTTCAGCAACGTTTCACTATTTATTATCTGTTCTTGGATATATATCTTTCATAAACACTTCAAAATAAATAGTTTAAATTATTACAATAATATTAATTATTATTATAAAGTTCCCTTTTCAGAGCCTCGCACATTCAAATTGTTAAAAAAAACCCATCCCACCCAATTGGGAATGTGCCTCAGTTGAACACAAATGTTGTTACTAATATTGATTTTCGGGTAGGCTGACTTTAAACTTAAACTGCTTCAATTCAACCGCATAAATGTCCGTAATGAAAGACACAGTCAAAGACGGGTCATATTGCTAGTATATATATAGAGAGAGCCGAGTTCGAATTCCAGTCGAATCCATTACATTCACTTACGTGCTAACACCTTTGGGAAAGGTGTGAATCCTCTTCAAATCCCTCCAGCTATGGGTAAATAGCAGGACAGAGTGGGTTCTATAGCCTTGGATGGCAACTGGTCTAGGAGAAGGACAACTCTGAATTTAAAACCTGCGGTAGGTAGTTTGGGGACCTTGTGGCACATAGTGCACCAGGTCTCTGAATTCGGCCCTTCAAAAAAGTGTAGATGGTTCATCATAAAACCTTCGCCACTATAATCAAATCTCATGTGCTGGTGTCGGGCTCTCAGTTTCCTAGGAACTGATCTGCTTGATCCTCATACGTCGAATTCGACGGGAGAGTCTTTTTTAATTCTTTTCTTTTTTGCAGATAGATTCTATCTGAAAATAATATATATATATATATATATATATATATATTTTTTTGAAAATAATATATATATATATATATTTTCAGATAGAATATATCTGCAAAAGAAGAAAATGAATAAAAACGAAATATAAGATATATATATATATATATATATATATATATATATATATATATATATATATATTATTTTCAGATAGAATCTATCTGCAAAAGAAGAAAATGAATAAAAAAAGAAACAAGAGGAAAAACTATTCTTAGTCCACGCGTTTTGCCCTCTGAGGGGCATTTTCTCATACCATAACACTCTAATCACAATATAAACAATATTCATTTCTATAAAAAAAATCCCTGAATATGTGCCCTTTGGGAAACCACTATTGGGCCTTATGTGATCAGGCCAAGGCACGTCAGATCTAATGACAATTTTTCCTTAGGAGACACAGGTCCGAACCCTGCCTGAAGGCGTATATTTTTCTCACAAGATCGGTGAAAATAAATAGATATACGGTTTTAACAAATAAGTGAAAACAGAGCATCTACTCAAATGTGAGTATCCATTAAAATAACGTTTAAACAAATATATATATATATATATATATATATATATATATATATATATAATGTCATTCACATACAGGCCTGTTTCGCTGTATCACAGCTCATCAGTGCGGCTAGACATCCGATTCCTTCAAGTCGGGATTTATTTAGCATAAGTCGGAGTTTCTAACCCTGAGCTATCAACGCACGGCAGAGGGAAAGGTAAATTCTAGCGTATTATTTTTACGAATGTAAACAAACGCCAGACAGCCATCTTTTAAAATATTTGTTAGAACCGTGTTTAGCTGCATTTCAATTCCATATTCTTTCTCAGTGTCTTTTATTACTCATTTTTTACCTCTTTCTTACGTTCTTTTTTCTCTCTTCCTCTCAATGTTTTTTCTGTCTTTCTCTCTACCTTCCTCTTTCTAAGTTTCTCATTCTGACTTCCTCTGCCTTTTCCCCTCTGCCATTCTCTTCTATATATCTCTGGATTCCTCTCTCTGCTTTCGTGTCTCGGCCTTCATCTTCCGGTCTCTCTCTAACTTTCTATCATCTAAGTCTCTCTCTCTCTCTCTCTCTCTCTCTAACTTTCTCTTTCTAGCTTTCTCTATCTTTATTTTCCCTTTCCCCCTCTGAATTTCTCGCTCTCACTCTTTCTCTCTCTAACTTCCTCTTACGTCTTTGTATTTACAAGCATTTCACCATAACTTTCTTTGCCCTTCTCACTCTGCATTTCTCTCTCCACATTTCTCTCCCTTTCTTTGCTTTTTCCCCATCTAACTTTCTCTGCCTTTCTCTCTGACACTGTCTCTCTAACTTTCTCTCTCTTTGTCTTATCTTGTTTCTTAATTCTCTTTTTCATTCTTTTTTCTTTGTCTTTTTTTTTTTTTACATTCATTTCTATATTTTCGGATCGCACCAATAAATGAATGAAACATTTTTTTTTATTTCTTCCCTTTCTGTCCTCGACCGTTGTCTTGGAATCTCTCAACTTATGCTTCTTGTCCATATCGAAATGGCTTTGTACCAGTGTCTCGATATCATCCGACAGATCTCGTCCGCTGCGCGTGACTTGCATTGATTCGACATTTCCGGTCGAGATTTTCGAGACCAGACTTGGATTGAAAACGGTCACATGACCTAGCAGACAGATTAAAATTCCAGCATCCTTCTATGCAACCACGCGAATCCCGCCCCATACAACTATACGCAACATCGATGATATATATTTCTTATAGAATTTAATCATTTTCTTCTTCTTCTTCTTCTTCTTCTTATTATTATTATTATTATTATTATTATTATTATTATTATTTTATTTCCATTGATTTCTGATGTGTACTCATTTCTTTCCAGGTCCCGCCCAGGGAACTAAGGTTAGAAATGGCATCATGACGTTTTCCACCGAAGAAAAAAAAATACATAGATAAATCCCTTCGTAAAGTGTGGGCTGTACTTGTGAGAACAATTTTTTGTATTTCTTTGAGGCATGGGCTGCCAGGAATCCCTTCAATTAGTCTCCTGCAATCTTTTCCAACCAGTCCAAGGGCTCCAACTACAACGGGATTGTTGATGTTCCCATATGCCACATTTTTGAGATTTCGATTTCTTCTTCTTCTTCTTCTTCTTCTTCTTCTTCTTCTTCTTCTTCTTCTTCTTCTTCTTCTTCTTCTCATTATCATCCTTAATCCTCATTATTAAACAGAATTAATTCATTTAGCTTTACATGACGATAACCTTCTACATACACTGACTATGCTGGGCATTTGAGGAATAAAAAAAATAAAACAAATATATTCTACAGACGAAAACGAGGATATTTTCAAAAATGAAATTGCAAACATTTTCAGTTTGAAAAACAGGAAAAAAAAAGTTTGCAGAATACAAACGTCCTCCACTTTGTGAGCTTCGGAAGCGGCACGATCCGTCAGTCTTATTCCTGATAGTCAACACATGGAAAATGAGAACGGTTGATCTCCCTCTCGACGACTCCCTGGGTGTAGTAGCCCATGGAATTCAAATTGTAAAATCTAGAAGGGTCGCATGTTGGACATGGCCGTGAAAATACTCAGCGAACCACTCCAAGGTCGTCCGGGCCGCGTGGAATAAGATACAATCCAGCTGAGAAAGGTGAGGTGCCACTTTTTCAGTGGAGGCGATGATATTGTTCCCGAGTTACCTCAAGAAGGCATGAGGTGACATGATATGGCGCTCGTTGTACTCAACCCACCTCACCATGGACCAACACAGATGACGAGCATTGTGATAGTTAACCCCCTTTCGTTCTTGTTATATAACTTCTGCACCCGTTCGGAGTTTTTCTCAATGGAGAAGAAAAAAGCAGGTCCTAGAAAAGTTTTTTCATGAAGACTTTCGAATGAGTCATGTGGTCCTTGCTAGACTTGCTGGATACAAGCTGTCACCCTCATCTTGTAGAACTTGAACCTTATATAGAGTAGGAGCAACCCGATTAAATATATTATATTAAAGCGACAAAAACAGACAGGTTAAAACAAGAATATTGATTGATGGCTGCATTTATTTATGGCTTATCAATCCTTTGTTATTTAAAGCCAGAAAATATTTTAAATTGTAATTATATAAAAAATAATGATGATTTTATGATACAAGTCTTAATAATTAATCCGTAGCTTGTAGAAATGAATTCATACCTTTCCTAAGTGTATTTGCGCGTAAGTCAATATGACGAAAGCAACTGGAATTGGAACTCGGCTCTTTGATTAACAATTTCATGCCATTGTACATTACACCACCCACACATCCAAGCTTACAAGCGATTACCCATCTACCACGCTCGACGTTGGGGAACTTCAGTAATCGTACGGGAAATGGTGTTTGATCGTGATGTGGCCTTGAGCCGTTAAAACAACATGGAACATTAAAAGTAATAAACACAATATATAAACATAAGTGTGTGTATATGTTGGATATTGTTTATTTATCATTTATGTATTTATAATTTGTTGTATTTATATTGTTAAAATACTTATTTCTCATTGCATGCACCATTGTATTTTCCTATATTTTTTATTTATTTCTATGTTTTGCTACTAAATAAATAAATAAATAAAATATAAAATAAATTTAATTAGAAATACTTTATGGTATTTTTATTTGGTATTTTCGATCACGATATGCGAGGAGACAGCGTTATAGGAATTTGTCTTCACACTTTAAGCCCTGACCACCTCTTTACCGGTAAATGAGAAAATTGACGTAATTCCCAGCCACCGGTTGAACAGTGGTAGAGAAAAATGACTTAATGCCCAGCCACTGGTTGAACGGTGAGTA